CAGGCAAGAGACCAGCAAAAGGGAGTTGCAAAACAACATTATCTTATCAACTTTATGGATTTAAAAGCAAAGATGCCACAAGTATTTGGAGTTTGGCAACACCTTGATCAGTAACACCTTTTATGATCTAAACGTGCCAACAAGTGAAATCAGAAGTTGGAAGCAAAGAGGCTTGAAGATATAATTGATAGAGTACCGATATATCGAGAATTGACTAGCCTAAGCTGACTAGCAGTTGTAGGGGAAGTGGAGCACAGTGTAACACTCGTGATCTGGTGAGGATGCATGACCAAGTGCCTTAGGTAGGTGAGTCCATTAAAACTAATGAGGTCAGCATCAGATATTAAAAACTTACAGAGCTACTGATTTTAAGGGATTTATTTACAACCAAGAAATGATTGAAATTCGTGAACTGGCCTTCGTATCGAACGCAAATAATTGTAAGAGTGTACTTCAATTCCCTAAACGAATCTCACACAGTCTAATTATTTGTATAAATGTAAAATTTTGATCACAGTGGTGTACATCCATTAACACTGATAAACACCACCGGTTTTCAGATGTAGACTCAAGACTCGACTCACCGTCAATACCGTTTTTCTCACTGAAAAGCATATTCTGTGTAAATAATACATTTTCGGGCCATAACTAATCAGAAATTCGTTTAAATGAGTGCTATGCTGTTGACTGAAGCCGAAAATCTCTTATTTACGACTCTCTGTCAATTATCGAGTTGCTTTAGAAGATAGGATTTTTTTAATGGTAATCCTCAAGGCCAAAGGAGAAGAGGAAGACCAAAGAACACATTACGCCGAGAATTGGAGATAGACATGAGAAAAATGAACAAGAATTGGATGGAACTAGAAAAGAAGGCCCAGGACAGAGTGGGTTGGAGAATGCTGGTCAGCGGCCTATGCTCCATTGGGAGTAACAGGCGTAAGTAAAGTAAGTACAGGTTTATTGTAGCTACAGACAGTAAAAGCTATCACCTTAATTAGAGTCTATATCGTCCATAAAATTTGTCATTATTCTGGGTATAAGAGTAAAGGTCAAATCACGTTTCATATTGCTAATCGATGGTAAATTCGACTACTCAAAGTGATGCAGCTCATGTTTAACTTATTAAAAGATCTCAGATATGATTGATTCTTGCACAAAAATTTGATCTTAGTTGTTAATAATCCTAAAATCATCTGTTTGACGATGCTATCATCCCACCATTTAGTTCGGCAATTTGCTATAAAAGGGATTTTAACTGGCGTTACGCCTGTAGAAAACGAAAACCAACGTAGTCGCTTACTTCTGACGATTTCATCAGCATAACGATGACTTCCAAACCCACGGAAATAGCATGGGTGACTTGTAACTCATACCATGAATTAAACATTTTAGAATGAGGATGGAGTTCTGGATAATCGATAGTCGACTCTATTGTCAACGCACTGATCCGCGGGAGTTTTTTGACCTTATAAATACTGGGAATGACAAATATGAAAGTAAAGCTGGGTTTATAGAATAAATGACCGTGTGGTCGGATTGGGATTACCAATTGTAGCGTGGCGTCGAGTTGAGATTAACTATGAACACCGCTACCAAGAAACACGTGTCAAATAGATCAGAAGGCGTAAGAAGCTCGTTCCAAATGACTCCATAAAATCCCCGAGGAGCCGAATACCAGAAGGCAATTAATGGACCAAGTCGATGTTTATTTGCTGGCGATCTCGTGGCATCGAAAGGATACCGAGATCGTACCAGGATACAATCTTGGTTACAGAAGGTAACCGAATTCGCGCGAAGTTACAATCGAAGTCGAAGTGTAAAAGAATGGAAGCACAAAATAGCTGTCATTAGCACAGTCAAACAAAAGCACGTTAAAACAAACACTGGTACAGTTGGTTATAATAATAATTGTTTTTATTAAACCAGTTGTGTTCTCGTGATAAATGTGAGTCACTACAACCGTAACTAAGAGATAACACAGAATTGTTACGTAAAATGACGTTGCTGGGACTATTGAATGGACTTATTTTCGCCCGAGTATCTCAAAATAGAGCCTGAACTAGAACTTACTAACGAGCCTAGCTGTAGCTGGTGAACCCGACCCCTTTATTATCAAAAATATAGCAGTAGAGTTATTGCTCCTCTTCATCTGTAGACGTGTTAAAAACGATACTTCACTGAATGAACGGTTTTTAAGTCATAAATAGTACAGGGTTATATTAATTTTGTTCCTACTTACTGTGAGTGTTATTCCTTTCTTCATGTGTTCAAGGAAATATTGTATGACCTTCCTTGTTTGTATAGTCTGTTTGCTAATGTCTCCTGATCGTTACAGCTGACTCTAGGACACCTTATAGTCTTTTACGTTATTGGTTAGTGTTTATGGTATTTGTTTGTCATTATAAAAACGTTCGTATCTGTTATTATATCCCGGGAGCAAAACTCTCCTTAATCGTTCATTTTAAATATTTGGTGATTTTTAAATCAACACTCCACCTTATCACTTTAATATTTTTCCAGTAAACATAGTTTACTCCAGCGTTTTGATTGGATCAAACTTGTTAAACATCTAAGTTTCCTTGATTCACACTGAACTTAGATTGGCGTTTCTACGTTTTCTATTCACGACTGATATTGAGTTGTGTCGTGAGAAGTTTGGGGCAGATTTAACCAAGACCTTGAACGCTTATTGTGTCAACAGCTGAAAGTTTTCGGATTATACTCCATCAAGTAAAAGTGTAAAGTCGTATTATCTTAACCTTGTCAGAACAAAAGTTTTCATGGCGTCTAGCTGATTTTGTGTAGCAGATAATCGTAGATCAGCGTTATGTACTGAATAACGAAGGGCTAAGTGTAGACCACGTAGCGTCGGCTGTTTTATATGGAACAACGCATTATGCTGTCCAGAGCTTTGGGGATAGGATTAGATCCGTTGTTAGTAGTAACATTAAGTCACCCATTTTTAAAAAGTTAATAGCTGCTTTGTCTTGTTACTAAGTTAATCAAATTGTCTGAAAACTGTCAAGGTAGTCGAATAAGACACATTTAATTCTGTAATAAGTATCCCATCATTCATTGTTGATAGTGTTGTGAACCCTTTGGTTTGTAAAAAAAACCCAGGTAACTACGTTCTGAACATTGACGTATTCGTGTATTTTTCTTGTTTCATGGTTTTGGCATGCTGACCTGCTGCATAGTTCTACTGACTGAAATACTAGGCTCGTCATCTGTTTTATTTGGGAATACATACCATATTTCACTTATCTGTTCAAACCAGAACTTTGGAAATTGCATGCACACGTAGGCTGGGAAAAGGATTGAAAGTCGCTAATTAAAACGTATTCATGGTATTGACTATCATAAGCTCGAGTGTCTTCGTTGGGGTCTAATAGATGAGTATGATCAGTGGTCGCAGTGGTACATCCACTCTCAGATAGACTCTAAGAACAGAATTGCCTCAAACTTTCCATTCCTGAACTTTAACACTATTGGTATCATTATTTTCACCTCACCATCGTGCAAACGTTCTCGTTTCGCTGTGAAGCGCAAATCAATATACCAGTGTTCTGAGTATCAGGTCTCACGTTTTCGGCTCAAAATAAATCTTAATAATATAGATGGATTATTTTTTTAATGTGAACTTCGAAAAGTTTATTGTTCATCATTCTCCCTCATACATATTCGTTTTTATTCTTAAGTCTATTTTGTATTGTGTGGCAACTTAAATCTCTGACGTTTCGAGCCAAATTCCATTTTATTTTATCTGCATACACTTTTCTACAAATTCAGACGATTGTTAACCAAGATTAGATTAACTTTCGTTTCTATGATTTCATACATACAATATACCTAATCATCAGCAACCAAATGGTTTCTGTGATTCAGGTTTCCAACGTGCTACACGTGTTTCATAAATTTAAGTACAGACTAGTCAGTGAATAGAAATTAAATGCTTAATACAGTGGGCTGCAACTTTATACGAGTTAATGGATATCCTTTTAAGTGTTCATCCCTCAAATCTTTTGGAAATGGAACTCTACCTTAGTCTTCCATCGGTTCCGCTTTTTCCACCACAATGAATTCCTTATAAATATAGCTTGAAATGTTAGCTGGATGTTGCATAGTAACACGTACGACACGAAAGTTGCTGAACTTTTTCAAAGGATAGCTTGATTGCATGAGATTGAACTTCATGTTGAAGCAATCCTATCGAAACGATTTGATAGTCGTTTCCAATCACCGTCGATTAAAACTGATTTAACCATCTGAACTGAATCATTCACAAGTAGATTAATAACTAACTGATTTGTTTTTAAACTAGTATGGCGGTGAAATTAACCTGAAAAAGCTGTTGGAATCATAGGTGGGCGAATTGATGAACTTTTGACAGAATCGATACAATACCCAACGATGAAATCACTGGTTGATCCACTCAGTATGTTGAAAACCAAAGCTGTTGTTTATGTAATAACAAATAATATAACCTAGTGACTTGTGGGGTACCAAGCGATGAGCTTGAGTAGAAACGGTAGTTATGAGACAACCAGTGGTACTATAATAAGTGATCAGAGTAGGTTCTCAGGAATACTTAAGAAGTATGGATTTGTATACTCAGCTTTTAGTCACCTCGTAAAGACTAGTGAAACCACTCGACTCCGCAAACTAAGGTAAGTTAAGCCTAGTTTTAGACTGTTAACCGGCGGTTGAGCATCGGTTACTTTTCATTATTAAGCCATCCCATTACAATGTTTACCCAATTATGATCTATATAACAAGTCGCGGTAAGGAAGTTTATCACAAACTGTTGGTACTTGTTCGTAGTGCATATCCTATTACCTCACTTAGACTGTTCATCCCAATTGCGTAATTTTGTATGGATCACTTGTATCGCGCATCGTTTAACTAGACCTTCGTCGATTGCTTGGTTTTTTGTTTCAGAATTTCACGAATTTAATGTATATCATTATTGCTGTCATTTTAACATCAAGTCAACAGTCTGGATGGTAATCATATTAGAAAACTTCTTGAATGATGATAACAATCGTGTAAATAATTATGGAAGTGGGATATTGAGTGAAGTCCAATTATTTTCAAAGTTCAAATTTCTTTGGATAGCCTGTTCTAGGTCATATAGTAAATCGTAAGTCAAGTTTTTGTATAAAAAATGTCACAAAGTCTTGAAGTAACTTATCACTGGTTAGGTTGACCTATTTTAGAATACATGTATGTATATGTATTACTGCTTTAAGGTTACTTCCAAACCAATCTAGAACCTGAAACATATCTCCGGATCTAATTGCCAGACCACATAAGCGCAGCACGATGAATAAGTAATAGAAATAATAGTATTGTAAATGATGACGATTGAATACATCTACTCTATCTCAACAGATCCCAAGTTATTTCACCTAACGTTTTCAGCTGTTGGTCACTATAATCTTGTAGACTACAACCAAATAGACTCAATTTACTAACACGGCTCATTCCAACAGTCAGTGACTTCATGGAATAATATCACGTATCTTTTTGACTGATCCTAGCTTTCTCCCAATCCATCCTTGCACCATCTGGCACCGCGCTTCGATGTAGGTGGTGCTTGGGGATATGCAGTTTATGACCCATTCATTTTTGTCAATGAAAATTCACTACCTCATAGACCATCCGCGTATAAAGTCAATATTGGTCACTCGGTGGTTCCAACATACGTTAACAATGCTTTAAAGACATCTACGACCAAACACTAGTAACTTACATATATCCTATATTTTTAATGGCCACGTTTCATAACCGTACAGTAAAACAAAGCAAACTTCTGGGCAGTAAACTCGTTCTTCAGTTGGGAGGTAAACATCCCGTTTACGTCACAATTGGCCCAAGTTGGAAATGGCCAATCGAGATTTCTGAATCTGTGCCGAGATTTCGTCAGACACCAACCGAACAAAGCTGATGGGACTTCAAAGTTAAGTAGTGGCCGATACACTCAACTACTTCACTCCCTGTCACCAGCTTAGGCGTTAATGTAGACCAGTATTCAAGCAGCATTCACTCAGAACGGGAGATATTTACCACAAACACTTATTGCTCATATTATGATGTATGCTACTTATGCTGATAGATATAAGTAATATGTGGCACCATTCAGAAGTAGAATACCTACCAGCAGAAAGTTGAATTGAAAAGAACAGGAAGGGAAATAGAAATTGTAATAACAACAGAATTGGAAGAATCATGAAGCACATGCAAGACGACTGAAGGAAGGTGCGCAAATAATGTATTTAATATACGGTTTTCATATTTAACGAAGACACTAATTTGGCATTAAATGATGAATTGGTTTTCCCAACTTCAGTTGTCGTTCAGTACAATATAGCTATTACATAAACTATCTATATATATCATCAATACGTGTAGACAGATGAAGACTATTATCGACAATAACTAATCAAGAAGGACGTAGAACAAGCTTTTAGAATATATATATATATATATATATATATATATATATATATATATATATATATAAAGATGAATATGCAATTGTAGAGAAGTCACTTTACGGGTCTGTGGTTCTGAAATTATTGAAGTGCCCAAGACAAGTGACATGTGTATTCAGGCCATCATTTATCTTGAGTAAGGTGCTTGATTTGAGTGAAAGTAGATTAGAAACAAGTCGACGATAGTCAAACTGAAATACAGTATTATCTTATGAAGTTCTTATTTATTGGTTTGCGTTACTTAGTAGGACAAAAATCCCAGGGATTTTATAAATCGAAGGTTTGAAACCCTATATCGTAACATGGTTTAAAAGTAATCACAATAGTACCGGTGTGTTAATCTTATTACTTCTTACCATCTATTACCTGATATTCCTTTTCTTATCCATCGATTTCAATCTTGCTTGACCTACTGTTTTCAAGCTTTATGTACTGTTAAATGTGTAGTGATATGAATCAGTTCATTATTTTGTAAGGTTTTATTCGAGGGTTAGAATTATACTTCCTTTAAAGATCCAAATATACTGTTCAATTTTCGATATTTCTGCTTTCAAACAGTCAATATTGTAAAAATATTATTATATTCGCTTACCGTCTTTTTTGAAATTTCGTTCCTGATAAAATAAAAGTCGTTGTCCCTATAGCATTACACCTGTGATATTTTATAATTAGTAATTAATGAGGTCACAACATGTGTTACGTATTCCAAGTCACAACCTACATCGACAAGCGATGCTAGATGGTGGGATAATAGAGTGAAGGAAGTTATCGGTGGCCAAGCTGATAAATGTTATTAATCCATGAAGTCATTGACTGTTGAACTGAGCCGCGTTAACAAATGCAGACTACTTGATATTTCGCGACATAGCTATGATCAGTGGTTAGAGATGCTGATTCATGTGGGTAATAATTGGTCTCAGCAAGACATTTTCACTCATACTTCATCTTGCTCAAGATCTTGAGCTTCAATATTCCTTCTTATACATCTTTCCATTTCATCCTTTTTGAAACATACTCTCTTTTTCATTATCCTTCACCACTGCACTATTTCGTCTCCTATGCTAGACGTGATAATATGTTCTAAGAGTGTGGTTTAACACACAGATTCCAGACCCATTTATTTCTACATTGATTATGAAGGGAAAGAAAAACGATTTATTGAATTTTTCGATGTTCACATCTATGTTTACGATCAACTTACAACATTTAATGTAAATTAACTATATTGTATTGATCTCCTTCACTCTTTTTACTTTCAAGATTATTTTCATTTCATCACTTCTTTCTGTAAATATTCTCCATAATATGGTTATTCTTCTTCTTCTTCACATTATTACAGAAATTCATACCGTTAATATTGATTTATTCTCTTTGTTATCCCTAAAAATAATTCCGTTTTTTTGTTTTGATTACGAAAATAAAAATCAATGTCAGTGAGTTTTATCTGTTACTTCCCCAGTTACTTTTTAATTGATTTTTCAATAATGTTTATGTTTTATAATAGACCAATGTAATTTCAATATACTAAATAATGTTAACTGGAATTTTACCATAATCTATTCGTTTAATCAGTATTGATTATTGAATAATGATTTTAGGAAACATGTAGAGATTGCTTTACTTCAACGATAGAATGAGATCAGTTGGATGTGGATAGAAGTACTATTTAAGTTAAATTCTTAAAAGTATATGTAAAACAACTATCGCTAATACTGTTATTCTTGTTTTTATGTGTACTTGTCTATCAAAGTACACAAATGACATTATCTCTCTTACATTTTTGAAATTGACGTTCTGGCTACTATTCTTAGCTGAAGGTGTGTAGAGGTTATGAATAATTTCAATCAAGAAAGAACCGGAGATAATAACAGTTCGGGTGTAATAATCATTATACATGGGTGGAGAGTAGGTGATGTTGGCCGAAGATGGATTACATTGACACAAATTCATCCTTTCTTTTTTGTACTTTAAGTTTTACGATTATTTCATACTTTCTCGTTCCCAATTTTATTTATTTTCGAACAATATTTTTCGTGCTTAGTTGTCTTCATTTCAATGGATAATACGACTACACGTCGTTTGGTCCTCTTCTGCATTTCTTCTTTGTCTAGGCTTCGATTGAATCACGGAGACCTAACTGTATTCGATGCTTGGTTCTTATCATCGTTATTTATTATTTATTTATTTGAACACATATTGGTACAAAGGGGCACCGAATACATGTGCGCCTCACAAGTCATTTGATTTATATGTGGGCTGTGATACTTCCCGGGTGCCCAAACCGAAGCAGATGGTTATGTTAGGTGGCCACACCTGGAGCCTTGGACCTGAAGATCTGATCCACAAGGCAGTGGAGCAACGTCAGTAGATGCAGTCCCATTGTATCCGGTGACCAACGATTTGTTTCCTTAGGATCCTGAAGCCCATGTAGACCATTCATTTGGAATGAGGGTTTTCCAACTCCCCTAGGTGGACCCTCCGTGACCACCAACCCGGTTAAAGCGCCGGACATTCGCCGTTCGTCCTCTCGATTTCGTGAACAACATCCCCGCTGAGAGAAGGCACTGAGTAGGACGCCTGTTATGGTGGCTGTATACGCGTAGCCATGTGACAGCACTTTGAGAGGGAGAGCGAACTCCCCCACCCTCGATCGTACCAGGGCATTTGGGGGCTCCTATCATCATTACTACAAATAATTACAACAGTCATTGTTATTACTACAAGTGATAATAATACTGTATTATTTAGATTCTTACCCATCTTATTGATTCCCTTTTGTTGTGCTGATGTAGTGTGGGAACTTGAACCAAAACACCTATATTCCAAATTCTTCTCTGATTATGGCTTTGTCACAATGCTAATATATGACGTTACAACTTCGATCGATGCTCATTTATATTAGGTCCTAAGTTGTTAGTTGTCTAACAACTTTTAAAAATCTATTGTTCTGTGTATATTATTGTCAAATTATGTTATCCGTTAATTGATTGTTGTAAATTATGTAAATGTTTTAAGGGATTTTTCCAGTTTATTTTACTTATGTTTTTTTCCCTAAAAATTTCCATTTCCAGCTATCATCATGTATATTTTTTTGATGGATCAAGGTCGCCTTGTCTCACTAGATGACAACTTATTATCTCAAACGTAAGAAAACTTTTTTAATCGATTTGTCTATGTGGATGAAGCGTTGTTTTAGTAGCCTAACGTTTTATTCGTTATATATTTGTCAAAAGTTGTACACTTACTTTAGAGAGGAGTTTTGATGATTCTGCACATCAACTTGTAATGTAGTTGGTGCTCGTTTGGATAATATATATATAATTCGAGTTTTGAGCTATCAAAGCCTGTAATACTGCACATTTCATTGTATAACGCACTACTGGTATTTTACTTTGGTTGCCTGATCCCTAACAATGTGACAGTTTTTTTATCATTCAATGTAATATATGCACTAATTCCAACTATCGCATAATAATGATTAAGAAGCTTCATTTTTAGCTACTTCGTTCTATGTTGGAACTTCTCTCCGATTCGGTGTGCGACCGCTTATGTAGAATGGTGTCTATTATTCATGATATATTTTTAAAATTCAGTTTCGGATTTTATGTGGTTAAAGGTCGATTGATGTGGTGGTTTGAGCCTGAGTTTCTTGCTTGCTGACATTTGTCAACAAGGCTAGTTGGAATTGACACGTTTATCAATATGTGTAGTATGTGAATTTATGTTTTTTTTTAATTTGGAGGAAGTGAACCTTCTATAGCCTAACTAACCTCTTGTAATCTATGTTATAAATTAGTTTTTGCTAGTAGATTATCATTAATCTAAGTCAACAAATGTTTCCCGTGTTGATTTAAGAATATCTTTAAAACATTGATGTACAAGGATAATAAATTCTGGTATACAGTTTATTCTGTAATTTTGATCACTCAAAAATAATTTTCAGTTCAGTTATTATTATTATTACTACTATTACTATTATTATTATTATTATTATTACTATTATTATTTATTATTATCATTATTACTACTATTATTATTATTATTATTATTATTATTATTATTATTATTATTATTATTGTTATTATTATTATTAACATTTTAGTCACATTTATTTATCGAACTCGGTAATTATCCAAAGCTTTCATCTACATCTGTTTTTGGTATGACTTTGATTTATGGATGAACTGATTACGTTTAAGATAGCATCTTTTGAATTTTTTTGTACGAAACTTATTCATCCATGTAGGTAAATAGTATTTTGACATTATAGCTGATAGCCCGATCATATGGAAAAACCCTAAACTGTTTATCATCTTAATTCATAGTCCTATTTTGAACCTAATAGATAGTTTGCTTTCTAAGGTTATTTTAGTGTTACTTAAAAGTTGTCTATATTAATTTTATCATTTTATTATTGTGCTTATTTTATAAAAAAAAGTTGATCTGACCAGTTGGGAAATTACTGTTTACTATTTATGTTCAGAAGGAATTTGTGGAGATTTTAGAAATTTCGCAGATTGAAATCATGAGTCAATTGAAGCTAGACCACCATGGAAAACCTAGAAGCGCTGGACGGCCGTTTCGTCCTAGTATGGGACCCCTCAGCAGTGGTCTAGCTTCAATTGACTCATGATTTCAATCTGTGAAATTTCTAAAATCTCCACAAACCCCTTCTGAGAATAATCATCTGCTCACTAGTGACTGACTTCAAGAGATACTCCTGGAGTTCTAGTGAGAAGCCGTTACCAGTGGAGTACAATCAGGTCTGTTGTGAGATATCAGCTCACTGAAGACAATGGTGTATGGTGGCGCAACTTCGTGAATTGATTGAAGTTAGACATTAACACCATTGGATGCCGGATCAGTAGTCTAGTTGGTTAAGCGCCTGGTGCGAGACTGATAGGTCCTGGGTTCGAATCTTGCGGGATCGTGGATGCGCACTGCTGAGGAGTCCCATACTGGGACGAAACGTCCATCCAGTGCTTCCAGGTTTTTCATGGTAGTCTAGCTTCAATTGACTCATGATTTCAATCTACTATTTATGTATTGTGTAAAGAGATGAAGAAATTAACGTGTGTTGAACATTATTTATTCAACCTACTAGTGAAATAGATTTAATATGGAGTTAATGTGAGATATTAAAGAGGAAGAATGTATTTGTAAAATCTCAGTAAAAGAATTTGAAGTAAATCCAACATTTCTCCTGGTAATCTCGTCCAAGGTTTTTCAAGAGAAAATACATTCTTCCTTTTCAATGTTCTACTGTTGAAATGTCTCAATGTCTAATTTACATATATGTGTATAGTACCTCATATCTTTATATATATTTATATTTATTATTTTCACTTCCTTATGTAGAAAGATTTCTTCATATATACATGAATCTAAATTTTTTTGTCATTACATCAAGTTGTTTAGATCTTTGTCTGTCTGCCTGTCTTATTATCATCGGACTATCTGAATAAACTGTACCTAGGATATAGATTTTTGTCATATGATATAGTTGTTTGTATGCTTATGTGTATAACTAGCTTATATGTTCCTAGGTATATTATTGATGTACAGGTCACATGGGTAGGAAATTTGATCAAACATCATACTGGAATATAATAATAATAATAATAATAATAATAATAATAATAATAATAATAATAATAATAATAATAATAACCTTGTCCCATCTTTTCTACATATGACGTAAAGCCTTGTGTTGATTGTAGTCTAGATTATAAGTTGCACGTTTTCACTTTAGATTTACATCACTACTAATTAATGGTATTTATTTATTAGCTTAACAACTTAGATTAACGTTGAATTGTTTTACAATAAAGATTTTTTTCTTTATTGTTTTTGATAAACATCATTTAGTAAATTAGGCAGATTGTAAGCGATTCCACAATTGACCTGTAAACCAGTTAGTCATACACAATGTAGAACCCGACACATATGTGCATCGTTTCAGGTTTCTATATTTGTCGACTTTGAGACTAGACGATAAGATAAGAAATATTTAGTTTACAACCTGACGGTATAACTAGTTCTAAATGAAACTTATTCAGCCATCACAACTCCTTGAATACAGAATCAGTAAGCTTGTTACTCTATCACACATAATTGATATTATAAACTATCGGTTATACCACTATATCTATTACACTCTTTTTAAAAGTAAATAAATAATCTGTCTCCGTTATTCCCGTAATTTAACTGCCTATTTGATCAAAATACTATTTATATCTAGTCCCTCACACTTCCAACTAGTCTTAATCATTCTTCTATTTCGGTTACTTAATACTATTACTAATAAAGTAGTACCATCCTAATTCACATACACTACATCTCAATGATAATGATGAGTTTTCGTTACTTTATTTCTTTCAAGGGTTTCAAGTCTACGCAATGTTTTGGCTCATGATTTTGACCTACCATTGAATAAACAAATTCTTTTAGTATCAGGTGGTTTTCAATTGGAACCAGGTGATAAACTGTCAACTTATGGTGCGGGTTTGGTAAGTGTAATATACCGTCATGTTGTTGTTGTTGTTGTTGTTGTTGTTGTTGTTGTTGTTCTTCTTCTTCTTCTTCTTCTTCTTCTTCTTCTTATTATTATTATTATTATTATTATTATTGAGTGGTTGTGTGTTTCTACCAGGAGATTTACTCCTTGGCATCGGACACGTATATGATATAGTTATATTTTGTGAAGACACTGACAAGATGCAGTCATCGGACCACTTTAAGGAACAATGGTAGCATATTTGTAATGCAATTCTCTCACTCTAAATGCAAAAGGTTGCTTCGGGATTGCCCTACATCTGTTCCTGAATTAATGGTAAGGAGTGAAGTAGTTAAGTCCGTCAATCACCTCTCTTTTATTAGGGGTTTTCATCATTCTCGATGAACTGGCATCTGACGAAATCTCGGCGAAAATCCAGAAAGTCCCATTGGTATTTTCCAACTTGCGTCAATTGTAAGGTAGTCAAGATATCCATCTACTAACCAAATGATAAGTTTACTGCACAGCAGTTTGTTCCGTTCTGCTCTATGGGTCTGAAACTTGCCCTCTCAAAATCAAGGATATTCGTAGATTATTAGTATTTGAGGTTAAGTATAGTGTATTAATACATGCAATTAATTAATATATGTAGACTACTTGGTTGGGATCTGCGTCATTTTTGTAACTAATTGTTATAGACTTTAGGTGAGGTTGCTCAAAATTGTTTTCATTGGCCCACGCTCATGCATTCTTTGTCTTCCCCCAAATTCTAAGCTTCTGAACTACTCAGTTTTGTTTTTGTTTCACTAATCTATATTTTCCTGAATCGTAACTTCAATGCCTAATCTCTTCTTATACCACCGTTACTGTTGCTACCTCTACTATTCCGGGATTTTCTCCAACTATTTTACATTTTTGTGATAATTAAGTATGGCAACCTGTACTGATGTACATATACACCTTGTTTTACGTTGCGACTGAATGGCTGTTTGTTTATGATAATCTTATAAGATTTAATCCCGATGATTTGTGATCTGTGTACTACTCAAGGATATCAGGCATTATTTTGTCATCAAGTATCCCACACAAGTAAACCACAGCTCTACTCAAGTTTATTAAATAGTGGAAACAAACTGTGTAACTTATACAACGTTGTCGATCAATTTAATTGTTGGTGTGTATAGCGCAAGTTGATATATATCTGTGTCGATGAGTTTTTATTGATTGGAAACATGAAAGAGTGGGTAGTCGTTAAACAAATAATTGTGTGCTACTTATCACAATACTTTAACTATTGATAATCAACACTTCCCTGGAAATACTGTCAGCCAATGTGTTACTAAATCACATACATACTATGTATGTATATATATTCCGCTGCTAGTCACAATATATTTGTTCTAAAAAATATTGCTATTGAGTTTTTTAACATGGATAGTTTCAAGTAAATTGAACATTTACAAGAGTATTCGTCAATATTAGACCGAATAGTTTGACAAAATCTGGGTAGTAATCCTAAAGAAGTTCAGACAAGTTTGCTGGAAGAAACGTTGTAATTACTTAGATTTCAATCGCTGGATTTATTTCAAATATAGTTTTCACTTATAATAAATTGTTTGAATTGTTATTAGTAGTAGAATAATAAATCTGTGTGATCTTGATGAGTAGAAAATTGGGTTTCTGACATCTCACAACTTAGTATGTAAGCTACGTGTTCCGTTGTATTATTTAAACTTGGATTAATTTTAATTTGGTTATTTATTCTCTGAAGAAGTGGCTTGCACTAAGTCAGGAAACGTCAGAAAACCTAATTTTTCTACTCATTGGGATATTAAAAATGTATTATCTATTTATAATCACAAATTTGTTAATCAGTCATATGCAATGCAGAACCTGGTACGTGTGTACATCAATTCAAGTTGCCACACCATATCAATACACCTAGGTGAAATTGTGAAGGTGAATTACACAATAATAGAAATAATAATATCATTCATGGTAGTAAAACATTTAACACAGACAATATGATTAGAGAAGAAAAAATGAATTTTTGGAACGACAGGTTTAAATTAATCTCGAAACCGTGGTTCTAGAAGGATATGAAAGATAAAGAAAGAGTGAATGCACCTATTATCTTTTATTATTGCTAATTCTGTATCATATTAACCAGTATAGTCTCATGAACAATCTCATGAACTGAACTCTAAGCAGGCAGCGGGAACCAACTAGCAATATGGTTCATCACAAATAAATTGTTAAGTTTATTTACTCATTTTCATTGTACTTATAATATATTTCTATATTATTCAAGTAAGTTACTATTTCAGTGCTGATGTTTGTTCTCAGGTCACAGCTTTAGTTGTAATGATATATATCTATTGTGAAAGTTTTAATTCTATGCTGTGAAAGTTTCTCTCAACTGAACAAAGAATTGTTTTTTAATTTTCACCAAAAATGTTGTATTTATTAGAACAAAAACAACAACAACAACACTTTAACCCTCCAACAATATAAACGTGTTTTTACACGGTTTTCTTATTCTCAGGTTCTTTCCTTATGATACATATATAGTTGTGTATGTTGCAGAACACCACACTTGATTGATTAAAATTGCTTAGCAACATTGAACTGGTTAGATTGTGCATAATAATAATAATAATAATAATAATAATAATAATAATAATAATAATAATAATTATTATTATTATTATTATTATTATTATTATTATTACTATCATTATGATTGTTGTTATTATTAGCGTTTCACACGATAGTTCGATATGGCAATTCAGCTTGTTTTACTCATGGTCATTTGCCGTGCTTACTGTGATGTTCGTGTTATATCGGCTAGCAACATAATATTTAGGTTTAATAAGTGCTAGGAGTAGTGTCCTTCCTCCGATTACGATCAAGTCTTGACCTATGTATCCTTGGACTTCTACTAGTTTGTTGTATCTTTAAAGAAATTCTAACTTTCTGTGTTTAGTGCCTGTGAATAGTCTATAGTTGTAGGCCTCAGAGAACCTAGTTTGAAATCCGTTTCTGTTGTCTTGATGTATTCATTCTTTATAATTTTCTGTCAATCTTGAGCTCAAATCTTATTCCTTAGTTTTCATTTTGCCCATTTCATTCATACATTTCAACCTATATTCCATACTTTTCTACAACTTCTCACTGTGACTTGCGGTGTATGAAAGTTGATACTGGTTGATCACTCGAAGATTTGTGAATAACTCATTGTATCACCTCAAGTTATTATTATTATTTCAATCCCTTTGAATTCATATCACTATAGTCAGAGAATATTAATGCAACGAAAAAACAGCCAATCAACCAGTCTTAAGCAAAATAAAACATAACCCATATTTATACATCATCAGTTCAACCTGCCACAACATATCACAAACAACAAGACGAAATTATCATGATAAATAAAAGAGTAATAGGAGAACTAACAATACTAATGTTTGTGGTGTTGGTAATAGAAAATATTAAGAGTATAGATAATGTAATTCGAACTGGTTCTGTGTATATTCGTGGGAGAGGGACTTCTCACCTAGGCTGAGAGTGATACAAGTTAGTCAAATATCAACTTCAAAAACATCTGTATGATACTACTACTCACCTGTCAATGAAATTAAAAGATAGCCATCTGGTTTAATTCTTGTCCACTATGAACGATGTTAGGGGTAAAAGTGGTCGTCAAATATTTCGTTGGTTTTACTGTTCAATAATTCACAAGTTTGTAATAAATCACAACTATCTCTCTATCAGTAAATACTTCACATAACTGTAAATCACTCATCACTACTAATGGTGTCAAATTTAATTGTGTACATAAGAAATGGATAAAGTAATTAATTAATGAATTCAGTGTAAGTAAACATTGTTTCTATTAGGTAGGGTACTGTAATTTTCGGAAATATACATTTATGTATAATGTTATACACACATCACTCGAACGAGTACTTTACACTAAATAATGATTATGTGCATCATTATTTATTTAAAAGTGATTCCAGTCAAGTTGTAATTTTATACTATGCATTGTTCATGTTTTCTGCAATCTAAAAAATGCATTAGAGTAATAATAAATTAATCGTTAAGATAATTCCCCAGAGAGATATGATTCTTTTCAAAAGTGTAGTGTGATGCATACATTACAGGTTAAATCAGTTATCACAAAATTCTAGATACGGCTTACCAACGAATACCAGATAGCATGAAACTTTGATGAATCAGGATTGCATCCTAACTGCGTACAAACGCTTAACTTTCGTATATTGTGTTTGGTTTTATCATGATTCTCTGTAGTTATTGGTGAATTCGCCACAAGTAATTTAAGTATCTCCATCTTTCAGATGTTATTAATCTTATTTAACGGTTGATCAATTTCAAGCAAGTATGAACTTCAGGTTCATATATTAAGGTTTCAATTTTTAAGGAGCTTTAAGATGAGATGGTGGTTGGAGGTAGTCGATAGGAAACCCTGAACCTAGGCTTCGTGCTATTTGGCACTTGTCATCAAGGTGTACCTATAATCTTGATGAAACTGATGCTCCCTGACGCATTCGATCTCATCGCAATATAGTGCACGCGATATTGAGTCACCTAGATTAGTGGCCGCATTGCAACTTGGTCAATAGAATTGCACTAAGGAGGACTTGATATACATTACATAGATCACTACCCAGTGACCAATCAATTATGAGGAGTAGCTTTGTAGTGATAGAGAACTCAGGTGGAGAAAACCAATTTATTCGTTAATACAAAATTACAGAATGTCTTCGTGAAATACGAAAACTATACATTAAATACTTCATTTGTACATCTTCCATCAGTTGTCTCCTACATAATCAATCGCTCCTTCATTCCTATTGCTACTGCAATTACTCTCTGTTTACATATCTGTTCTCTTCAGTTCGATCTTCTCAACCTTTTTCTGCCATGCATTCAACTTCTGACTGCTGTTAGATACTACTTATGTCTGTCGACATAAGTAACATACACCTCAGCTTTAATAGTAATAAACCTTCTGGCATACTATTTTCAAGTAGTTTGTTTCTCTTTATTATTGTTTTATCATTTTAGTTTTAAGATGATTCTCTGAAGAAAAAAAACTGACCTACACTTCACTTCTGGGTACATATGTTTAAAGATTAATCATTCCAGTGTAGTAATTTTAATTTGACTTGATTAAGTAACAACAATTTACCCATGATATGAGATAATGGTGATTTTGAACAAGGTGTCATCATTTCCAAAATTCTACAGATATTGGTTTATATGGAAGTAGTTTGGAAGAAAGCAAACCAGTGCCAATAAAACCATGACGAGTTATCAGTTTATCAGTTCACCGACTGCTGGATTGAACAGTGTTATTCGGTGTAGACTACTTGGTTAGTTGGTGTCGGTTTGATTAGTGTAACCAATAGTTGAACATGTTTGGTAAAGTGAACCAGAATAGGTTACAATGATGCAGATGCATTCACTTCTTATCTTCTCTTAGAACTTGATTTTTAATTTGTGAATTCATTTTGTCTTCTCGAATCACACCCTATATACTTCTAATGTTTTCTGCTACCGACACCACAAACATTAGTATTGTTAGTTCTCCTATTACTCTTTTATTTATCATGATAATTTCGTCTTGTTGTTTGTGATATGTTGTGGCAGGTTGAACTGATGATGTATAAATATGGGTTATGTTTTATTTTGCTTAAGACTGGTTGATTGGCTGTTTTTGTTGCATTAATATTCTCTGAATGTAATGATATGAATTCAATGACTGGTCGACTATATTCAATAAGTCATTTTTGTTAGTTTATGACACTTATGTGTTGGTAAAATAGTGGTCATGTATTGGTTGCATCACTTGACTTTCAACCCTTAGGTTATAAGTTTTAACCTCACTTCACCTACTTTGGTTCGAACTGACGGTTTTTATCTCAAGTGTACGTCCAGTCAATATGAGTTGTGATTTGGGTACTACATCACATAAAGTAGACTGTTTTATAGAGTTGATAATCCCCATTCACTTGTTTCCACTCTGTAAAATTGTGTCAACATGCTTTGGTTTTGATTGGACATTTTATTTTCTACGTTCACATGATTTAGCAAATCTCATGTTTTAACAGTATCCTTGGCCTTCTTCACATGATTATCATGACTCCCGGCCAAGTTTATAAACATATACTTCGTAAATAAGTTTCCGATGAAAATCATTTTTATATTTGCAATAAATATCTGCATATATCTACAGCATGCGTTGTTATTTCTTGTTTTGATAATCAATTGTGATATTATTAAGAGTGAAATAACATCAGTTTAGTTCAGATGACATGATCAACTCTGTGCTTTTATTCTCTCTGTATTCTTTCTATGTCTTATTCAGGATAAAACTAATCCAATTTATGTGTTTACGCAAACATTTTCAAATGATACAACTGTTCAAAAACCAGATGTCTTGCAAGTCAATGGTTAGTTTAATTGTTTTCTGTATTATTTTATGTAATAAAATGAATTAGATTTAAAAATAAGGCTTTTGCCAGTACTTTTAACCGTTGGACTACTAAAATCATCAGATAAAAGTATTTATAGTTCAAAATCATTGCTGTATACCACTGAGGAGTGGGAACGTACAGTCCATTAGTCCACTCTGTCCATCTTTAGTCTTAATCTACCACACTCTCTTGAAACCCTTCAATAATGTAGTCTTTCGAAGAGTCCAATGTAAACCGTGTTATTTGGATATATTAGTGATGTGTATCATAGTTCAGTCAGTCATCATGAAAAGCAGTATCTAAAATAAATATGCCTTGAATCAACATTTAAAACAAGAAATAATCAGGATTAAAAACGATATTTTGAGTGATTGTAATAGAAATAAAACAGTCAAAATTGTTGTATCCTCAGCTTCATATTAATTGCTTGTATAATAGGGTTTTCTAATTGTAGGAGTAGTTGATTGTGGGGTCCAATGTACGTCTATTAGATCAGCGACTTGTACATCTAATGATAAATTGTTGACCTTCTCTTAATCAATAATTCAATAACCGTGATTAATGACTACGAAATCTTAACGCCTATTGATTGGTCCAACCAGCTCCTGTAGCCACAACGACCAGTCAGAACAAGAACACTGCAAGCAGTTAGACCATGTTGTTATGTCATTCTTTTTTGTCATTTCTGCTGAAAAAAAGAACTCATATGTTTATAAACATTGATTCCACATCTACAACAAACCTCAAATAAGAAGTTACCCTAAGTGATACAAACCTGAATGATTAGGTTCATAATCTTTCCACCAGTATAAATCGGAGTTGACAGTAAATAGGTATGTGTAACACATCTTCATTCCGTTAATCGATAAAGATTTGCATCCTGATCAACCAATTTACCATCTATACCTATCCCTTTACACCTAACTGCAAAATCACTTATTAAACAGTTTTTTTTTTCATTTCCTCTTGTAAAATTACATAATATCCGTACGGCATATGATTTATACCGAGAATATCACATTATATCCTTACTTGTTACAATGGAATAATAGTTAGAGCGCTCTATTTTCGACCAGTAGTTCCCCCATTGTAATCCCATTTCACCTATTTCGATTTCAGCGATTGGCAAGCATCATAGTTCCATTATACAAACTTTGTAACACTTCCAAATACTTAAATGTCTACTTGATAAATGTATTACATTGTACTCTTTTTATTATTTAAGTATAAATCCGCTAACACTTATTCATTTTTCAATCTAACAAACCAGTCAACGAGCTAAACTAGTTTGCTATGTGTTTTCCAATTTGTTTACCATTACACTCTTTGTCTTCCCTTAAACCTTGAGATCAAAATTACTTTATACCTTTCTTTCTGCAAACTAGTTTTTTTCTCCCTGTATCATATCTTCATATGAAATCGTTTTTTACTGCCACTGAAGTAACTGGTTATATAAATTTGGTGTTCATCTTGTTGTGCGAATGAGGTATGGCAACTTAGATCGATGCATATATTTGCCTGGTCGTACTTTTTGACTGACTGAATATTACTGGAACAAGCTAGGTGGTTTCAAAAAATTATACGTTTTAGTCTTCCAAATTTCCAGTAAAGGTGGGCAGTTATTGGTTTGTACATTTGCCAATTTTTCGAAATTCTTCTAGGTGTACACGTTCAATTTAGTTGCAATATACCTATCGGTTTTATGCTATACGTGATAAATTTATTAAATTCCAAAATAGATTTATTTTTCTAATTTTACTTGTCCAATTCAAACTTCACTATAGTTCTGTGAAAAAGTCTTCAGAGTTTGTTATAATGCTGAAAATATTCCGATCAGTTAGTATTCTATGGATGTTAGCGGTACATAGACTGGCTTAAAGCATGCTCGATGCACGATTGCTTTGGTGCAAGCTGATTGGCTAATTCTTATCCAATCAGCACTAGTCGATACTTGGAGAATGCTCTAGAATCTTCTCATGTAAAAACTATAAATATACTAACGTTTTCCCTATTGTGCTTTTTACTTCCATCTAACCTTGTTATTTGGAATATAATCTCTTTTCCTGTTCAACCGTATTCTGATTTGGGGACTTGTCGAGTGATTCGGTGTCCAAGACTACTAAGCAATAGGAATAGCTAGGTTATAACCGTAAGAGAGAAATATAACAATGGAATTCTAAAGTTTTCTTCTGGAATAATGAGTTACGTAATTGGTTAGATTGGTTTCGTTATCAGTTTTAGCATGTTTCAAGAGTCTTCTACAAGTTTAAGTTATACATCATTTGTTTTCTTTCTTTAAATAAATTATCAACCGTGTTTTCTTGCCGATACTTAACTACGAAAAATGAATAAATTATTTTCTTTTCAATATCACAGATGGAGGGTATCCACGACAACTTGCCAGTCTATTAGAGTTAGCTCCATCTGAAAAGGTATTTGAAGAGCGACTACGTCTTATTCGTTCACTTACTCCGATTGGTCGTGAAGCTGCCAATGCAATTGAACAATTGGTTTCTGAACAACGTCAAATGATACAGGTTTATACATCCGCATATATGTAGTTTGTGTGACTTTTTATCAGTAGTATATTTACACACTAATAATGCGATTGATTGAAAAGTATTTTAAACGTGATAGGTCAATGTTAAAAGTATAATTTAGTGATGATTTTAGCGGGTCTTTAAATGATATGGAAGCCAATATTTAGCTGATCATAATGTAGGTGATATAAGTGAATAATTGATTATATAGAAACTCGAATAAAGTTTTTGTCTAGAATTACCTCATAGGGTTAATTTTAGGATTTAGCATTAAGGTTTAAGGGTAATGGTTAGGAACAGAGGGAAATAATGCCTTGTCACATGAATGAATACATGTTCAGTTTTTTATTATTATTGTAAACGTCAATCACATTTAAGTGATCTCCATACATTCATGAATCATAGTCTATATTACACTCCCCTCATGTCTATTAATTTAAAGCATGTTTGTAAGTTTTACTTAGTTTTTTATGACTTTCAAGGTATTCATTATCGCGTTTCGAATTTTGCGCAAAAATCCAATAGCCATAATCATAAATAGGATTCGTTTGTCAGTGAATTCTACTTTCAACCAGATGGATTGAATGTTTCAGTCAAATTAGTATCAATATTTTCCACGTTGAAAACCACATGAAAACCTAATTTATATGACAACTAAGATATGAAGCTTAACTGCAATTACTGATAAACAGACACTTCATGTTTGAACCCCACATTCCACCGCATTTCTATTGGAATAATCGAGCAGTTTTTTTAGTAATAATTTGCATCAACTATTGTGTTTTAAACAAAGCTGAATTCATGTCTGATTGTTAAGTTTTGTTCGTACGTATTACTAACTTAACAGACACACATACGCAGATCATTTGGGTTTGGTTATCGAATGTTACGACTACTGATAAGAATCTTTCAAATGATTTGTTTAATTCGGAATAAAATAGAGTTTAGCTGATCAGTTGGATTATAAAATAAAAAGCTTACCGATTTAAAGTTGTCGTTTGTGATGGAGATCAAATGATATAGATCATGAGTATTAGAGACAGTGGGTGAGTTAGTAGTACTCGATCGTAGTTTGAGGCTTGCTGCTATTCAATATTATGAGGGGTTTGTGGAAACTGTAGGATTTTATGATTTTCTTTACAGACTTTAGAAAAATATTGAGTACCAATAGGTACTGATTAAAAGATTTATCCTAGTATAAGACTTTGTTAGTGCTCATTTAATACAGTAACGGTAATCATTGAATAGAAGACCTTCAGATATCTTAGCTAGCACTTGACATTTAAAGCATTGAGTTATTATTCAATGTTATACATTTCTAAATTTATTGAAAATAATCAAACTTTAGTTGTATCGAACAATAAAATAGAGATTTCTTAATGAATTACGAGGATCCTAAAATCTTTAATTTACTATAAATCACTTATATTTAGTAACTTATGCCAATTTCTAACTGATTATCACTTTTCTATGGATTTGTATGTTTGTTGAATACAAATTAATTGTTCACAATATTATAAATGGTATAAAATGCGATTTCATCATTTCACCTTATGATTTGTCGATATGTATATGTTTGCAATTAGATAAAAGGGATTCTTGTTTAAATCAAATACAATTATTGGTATTTATAAAGTGGGATTTTGTATCTGCTAATATTTATACCTCTATCAGCCTATATATACTTCCTATTTATAGTGTGAATATTTTCCTTGTTAAATTCAGTTCATGACATTTAAACCTCTTATAATTCATTGACAGTTGGTTAGCTGTTACATGTACATTTTACTAAAATAATTTTGGTATTATTATTTAAGTTTAGAAAAATGTTGATATCAGTCGGACCTTACTGATCTATTACTCTTATTCTGTATTTATATTATTTAAATTTGATATTCTGTGGTCTGAAAATTTGACATGATTATATTTGCATAATCAATTCATAATACCCTTTAGGTTAAGAAAAACTACAGTTGATGAAGGGCGTTATCATGTGTGTTTGTATTTCAGAAGTTGACAGTCGTTGACAATATTTGAGTGATTCACATATCTGTTCTGACTTAAAATAAAACATACATGGGTTTTATGAGTTCGTTTTTCTGTAGCTACTAAAAGGATTCGTTGAGATATCATGTTTCTTAAGATTTTAGAGATTCTATATCAATTGGTCAAAGTGATCTCATGTAGTGTTAGAAGTATGAAGGCGATTATTATATCTCCGTTTCTCATACTGTTGTAGGACACGTCTTTTCGAGGTAACTGTAAAGCAAAATACTTTAGTTGTTTTGACTATCTGAGTGTGATCGCAGCACTGAAGAGATAACTGCTTGATACTATTCACAGATGGTCTTTTTGTGAAGTTTTAAAGTATGAGGCCAGTATTTTTAAAGCCTTATCGCCGGCAATGGAAATCCATGAGTCAAAGTAAAGTATGCTATTTTAATTGGGGAATCTTTTATCAACTCTCTTGTTGTCACAAGGTAGCATCACTGTTGCTGTTGGTTGCTTAAAGAAAACACCTTATTGCCATTATTATCCTGTGTACATTTGACTTTACGTCTTCACCATCAGATCATGTGTTTGTTACTTTTGTTCTTACTGCCCTCCAACTGATATACAAGGTATAGTAGGATAAAAAGGAACAAACTTCCCAACTGATGTGGCTCGACTGAGTTGATACGATATACAGTCTTGATCACCACATAAAGGTGGTACGATCTGTAGGCATTATGTATTCTATGAAACCAAGAGATAAAACCTTCAATTTCGATATATACATATGTCTGTCTAACTCTGAATTAAATGAAACCATATTTTCCTAAACTTGTCGCTTTATTTTTTAGGGATGGTGTGTTGCATTAGCTAATTTAGCCGAAGTAGCGGCAGATACAAATAAACGTTTGTTGTTTGCAACAAGTCGATTAGTTCAATTTGAAGGATGTGTATCAGATTGGGAACGAAAATTGTACAAGTATGTTGAAATATGCATTATTTTAAGATTACCTCTTACTAATATTGTGCATATTTTAATTAGATTTGTAATAACAATAATAATAGCAATCTAATGTTTTACGTGCTTTACCCATAAATAATCAGTTATTGATAAATACTGCTAACCAGTAAACATCAATGATGTTAAGATCAGATTCTACTACTGAATTGCTTTGTGGTTTTCAGCTTTTTCCAGCCAATCAGAAAGCATCAAATATGGACGATTAAATTACAGTACAAAATCAAAGAATTTAGCAATAATGTAGCATTCTACATGATGAATTAAATCTAATTTGTCTATAGATTCTTAATTATGCAACCTAACAATCTCCTTCGGTAATTCTTAACCATACTTCTAACAGTAAACTCTATTCTTAATAGAAATCCTAACCTTAAGAAATACTGAAGCGAAATATCATTGATTCTCAGTTATTTTATTCCCTCATTCACAAGTTAATAATTTTTTTAACAATCTGCAACGTCTTAATTGTATGTTCTTTATTCGGAGTCAATCACGAGACAGTTGTTAGTCAACATTTTAGTGTGTTGTGATATGGTTCAACCAACATCATCCTAGATTGATATATACACCATAACCTTGAAATCGATTTTTCTAATTTGAAATCATTCCACTTTTTTATCTTTAGCTTCAACGAATTAAAAAAGGAATTATCAGAATTGCCGTTACCACCGCAGTTGGTAGCTGGAACTAGTGAAATCCTTGATCAGAAAGAATCGGTAGGTTAACTGTTTTTTTTCCAGATGGATATCACCCATCCACTCATTCAATACATGTGGTTATTTAGTAATATGAATTGAAGATTACTATCACTAGTGCACACTTATCGTAGGTTTAAGCTCCGCATTGGATTTATCCATATATTGAAAGGTTCACTTAGTATATCACAAGATGTCACATTAAAACTGATAAGACTGATTCAAAGTTTGGGATTACATCAATCTATATTTTTTAATTTTATTATGTTTTGAGAGAGATCTTTCTGGTTATATGCTTGAAAGGAGTCTTGAAATGTCAATTCGAAATACATTTTATACAGTAAATATTTGTATGAAAACTTAACTTTTTACAACTTGACCATTTGCATGTTTATACGGTAGTTTTTCTTGCTCCTGTAAAACTAGATACATAGGTCTCTTTTCCATCACATTCGAGAGGATCTATCAGGCTGGTTTTACAAAAGATAGTTGAAATCAGTTTGTAGTTGATTCAAGATATTCAGCCTCATATTCTTTGGTATTAGAAAATTTTTGTGATTCAACTTACTTTATTGTAGAAGCTTTACTTACCTATTTAATTCTTTAAGCCTTTTACTCCTCTTGGAGCATAAGTTTCCAATCAGCGAATAAACGTTTTATTCATTTACGTCTGTTACACCTCACTGAGGAGCATATGCCACCCACGGTGATTCTCCGTCGGACTCTGTCTTGGTCAATTCTTCCCAGTTGCTGTTCATTCTTTTGATATCAGCCACCAATTACCGACGCATTGTGTTCCTTGGTCTTCCACTTCTCCTTTTTGCTTGTGGATTCCAAATTAGCACTTGTCTTGTGATGCAGTTTTATAATTTGTGCAATGTATGTTCTATCCACCTTCATTGCCTTTTCCTAATTTCCTCTTCATTTGGAAACTGATTTGTTCTCTCTCATGGTAGGTTTTTGTTGATGGTATCTGGTCAACGGACATTGAGTATCTTGTGTAGACAATTGTTTATAAATAGTTGTACGTTTCTGATGATCGTTGTAGTAGTTGTTGAAGTTTCAGCTCCATTCAATTGGATTGTTTTGACGTTCATATTGAAGATTGTGACTTTGATATTAATATTAGTTGGTTGGTAGTTGTTTTGATTTCCATATGTTCTTGAATTGTAGAAAGTTTGCCCTTAGCTAATTCTTGCTGACTATAAAAAAGAAAGTGAATAATTTCTATAAGGAACTATCATTTCGTCATTTCATTCAGTGGGTTTATTAGACCTATTTGTTCGACTTGTGCATGATCGAAATTTTCTATTTATTTTTAAACTCCGTTTATTAATTATCTGATTTTGGGAAGTTTACAAATAACTAATTTCTTTTATGATTATTTATTTTTCAGTTCAATTTTAACAATATTCCTAAACCAACAAATTTATACGAATGGGTTTGTTTACAATCTGCTATATCTAGCGTCGGGACGCGTTATTCCTTACCATCGTCAACAATTAAAGCTGTTGGTTTACAAACGATTGCATTGTATCTTGGTCGACATGTCGGTGTTGGTAGTGGTAGTACTGGACGTGTTCGTACAACAAGTACTGGTCATATTGGTGTCGTCAGTGGTGCTAATGATGGTATTATGTCAAATAATTCAGGATCCACTTGTATTGGATCAAATCAACCTACTGGAGTTTCTTTTTATACTGGTGGTTCTCAAACCAGCTTAAATAGTTTAGGCTCTACAAATTCAACAAATTCCTCAGATATACGTTACATCATGGATCATCATCAATATTCCATCACCAAAGATGGTAGCGATACAAATGTACAGGATCCTTCTTCTTCAGCATCTGATTGTTATGAGTCAGCGTTTTTAGATATAATTAAACGTGCATTACATGATATACATTCGTTACGATTTGGTCCAGATTCACCATTCAATTTTAATGCTAAACCACCGGATAATTTCAGTAGTGAATTAGTTTATGTTAGAGCGTAAGTGTATACATTTATTTATGTGAGCCTGAATGGAGCTGTTAACAGTTTTAACTATACCTTCGCTTAACCACACCGAGAGGTTCTCACGAGCCCGAATATACAATATCCTAGAACATCTGCTTACATGACTTGCTCCACAGAGGCAGTTGAATTGGTAGATACAGAAAGAAGTGGCTAGTATAAGCAATTTATCTTTCAACGTCGGAGTGGTCATCGGGTCTGTAGAAAACACTAACTGTAGTTTACCTGTATTAAAAGTCCTTTGGATTGATCTGCATAGCTTTAGTCTTAGCATTTCGCTAGGTCCATCTCCTCTGAATTGTAAGCGTATATACAGAGGCTTTTCGAACACTGTATCTATCAATTCAACTGCTGCCGTTTAGCAAGTTGTTTTGGCAGATGTTCCAGGAATTTATTTATATCTTTTTTTTTCAGTTCGTTTTATCACACAAACGTATTCATTTATAAGAATTCGAATCTTAACGTTGTTGGCATACTAAGGATCAAAAGATTGTTAGTCTTTATTGATCTATTTCATGCCACGCGCAACGTAGAACCAGACACATTTGCATCAGTTCAAGTTTCTGTACTGCATTGGCACAGTGGGATAAATTATTTCGAGATAAATCTAAAGTTGTGTGAATGTTAACAGTATTAATTGTCGTATTAGTAAAATGACTGGGTACAGAAGGAAAAAAGGTTTAAGGAGATTTCGGAACTCAGGTTCTGAAAAAAGATGGAGAGAATGAACCTGCGCCATTGCGAACAATTCTAAAACATGTCACACCAAGTCTTTAATTGTATGTTATGATAATCACGCGGACTTCAACCAGGTAGCCTACACATATTAACATGGTTCAGTCCAATTGTTAATAACTTCTTAAGCCGATCCTGCACCTTTGTTTGTCCACCACTACCAAACTTGAGTCAGTTACCAAATATGTTGATTGAATACTTTCTTTTGTACCTCCATAGTTTAACTGTCGTACTATGTTGATCAGCAAAATTTGAAATACACATTTATAGTTTAGTAGATAGATTATTTAACTTTGAACTAATAGTTCATTAGTTTGAACCAAGCGTCATTTAATTCGCTTCATCCAGACGAGTGGCATCACTAACCCTCGTCCCTAACATACAATTCAATGTGACCTAAATCTGGCAGTAAGTAAATGTGTATTTAATAAAGAGCTTACATTCGATGATAAACATAGTTCATTCGTCTATTTTTTTTATTGTTTTTTCAATTGTAAAATCTTGAATTTAGACAAACAAATCGTTTATGTGAACTGATTACAATGGTTACTAATTGTTCAAAATCAAATTATGATGAAATGACTACTTCTACTATGTCTCATCCTTCGACGAAATCATCATCCAACATTACTACTACTAATCTTGTGACTGGACTGAATACTGCAATGTCTAGTTCGAAAGATATTTCTATTGATTCAATGAACAATGGTATTACATCAAATGATTGCAATGGAGCAGTGAATAAAAGAGAAATCCCATGGCGCACATCATCGTCAACATATTCGTCAACTTTATTCCCATCGAAATTGCCATATAATGATGGTGTAGATGATATACACTTGATCAGTGTACGTGATGCGTTAGATCCAGGTTATTTCAGTCAACGTCTTTCACAACTTGACCCTTTATTGTGTGAAGCTGTAGATCTAGCCAGAAAAATGATTGGAATCGAACAGAATTCTATGAAAACTTTTCAACAGATAATTCAACAAAAAGTTGTAAGTTATTACATTTTGTTATCAGTATAGGGTTGTGGCGATTGTTGAGTTTTAATTGAGATCATGAACCGATCGATGTTACACCACCATTGAAAACCTAGAAGCACTGGACGGCCGTTTCATCCTGGTATGGGACTCCTCAGCAGTGCGCACCCACGATCACGAACACGGATCTTGAAGCCAGGACCTTCTGTCTCGCGTGCAACACTTAACCTCCATACCACTAGGCCGTCATCCAACGGTGTCAATGTCTAATTTCAACAAATCCACGATATTAAGTGACCAACGTCCATTGTCTTCGGTAGTTATCTGCCTCTCACTCGACACGGTTGAACTCGATTGATTTTTGTCTTAGTCTTAAAAGTCATTCTGCATTTTATTTCAGTTGGTCTTTTTTCTCCTTTCATTTCCTCTACCTTTTGTTTTCAGAATTCATTATTACAGACGAAATTTATAGAAAATACACAAAATTCACAAGAATTAATTATTGCATTCAATCGTCTTTGTGAAATTCTCGGTATTGTTATGGAGAGTAAACTTTTACTGGCTAATAATTTGTTTGATCGTCAACGGTAAGTTAATTGTGTTGCTTGTATTTGATTTATTCACTTTATTATTGTATAACATGTGCGTATGTGTGAGTAGTAGTACTGTAGTGTAGTGACCAACATATTATAGTTTTTCAGTTCGTTTAAAAGTAACTGATTGAATTCTATTGTTCAGGTAGTAATGTGACCAACTTAGTTTGAGTAACTTAACATTGAGTGAACTATGTTGATGAGATGTTAAGTTTATTTTATTAATTGGGATTCCATAACTCTGTTCTCAATTCATACTGAATTTGGTTGTTTGGTTTACTTAAGCTTTGGACTCAACAAAACAACAGTTGGCGATAGCCAAATAGTTTAGCTAACCACTTATAAATTTTCATAGTTATGATCAAATGTCCTTTGTCTCTTCATTAAACTGACAATTGATACTGTAATCTACGTTTTGTAGAACCGTTTAAGTAGGTCAAATCAGAGATATGTCGAAGGCAGGGGTACAAGGTAGTGATTTTTTTAATCGTATTTCCCCAAATAAAGAGTAACCAGTTTAACGTCAGGTGTTCTTAGAGGTATGCGGTTCGTTGTCGCTTTCTAGGAGCACATATCACTGGAGGATATTTCTCCAGAAACCCTAAGTAGAAACTAATTTAGGGTGATGTTGATTACCTTGGATTGTAAGTGTAAAGTCCAGAGAACAGCTACTATTGAGGCCGGTCACACATGGCATCTTTTTGAGTAGTTATAAATGTGTTGACTTGCTATTTATATGACCTTGTTGCCGACTACAGAAATCAGTAGCACAAGGTGGTGTGAATTTTTGGAGCCGATCTCTTTTAATTTCACTCTGTTACAGAAAGTAACATAGCTAGAGATACTGGTTCTTTAAGGGAGAACACCTTTCTTTTGTCAAACCTCATTTCATTCAGCAATGCAGTAACGTAGCAGCTACGATTTAGGCAATAAAACCTAGTTTTAAAAGGGTTATTTTCGTCGAATTTTTAAAATGATCTTTTCACAAGCTATTCTTATAGTTACTGCCAATACACATCAATATAATATTTCAATAAAACCGAATCTATTTTCATTGTACCTCTCCCCTCGAATTAATTATTCAATTTGAAATCACCTGTTCTATTGATTTGTGTTTGCATCAGCTGATTGTGCCAAAATCAATATTTTTCTAACAAGTAATTCATGTAAGTATTGATCCGAACAAACAATACAGTCTAGTGAGATTCAGTTGTAACAATTAAATTAAACGATAACTTCTTCGTTTTGTTAGATAGTTTAAAAATGTGAGATCATTATTATTATTATTTTACAAAACAATATTTTAAGGTGACTGGCTCTCATGGTTTCACCGTTTGTATGCTGACGTCAATATTATTATTATTGTGCTTCGTGTAAAGTGTAACGTTAGTTATCAAGGTCAGTTTGACACGTACTCGCTGCGGGTTTGTTGTTTACGAAATGGAGTGGACGAAGTGCAAACGTCCGGAGCTTCAACCAGGTTAGCGGGTACATCTCTCAACATTGCTCCACTGACTTATGGATTAGACTTTTAGGTGAAATGCTCGAGGAGTGGCTCCTTAAGAAAACCACTTGCTTCCGTTTGGCCACCCGGGCAGCATTCCAGCCTTCACACGAATCGAATGACCAAGTGTGATGCATATATTTCTGATGCATGCCCCCAAGTATCAATGTTAATGTGTTGAAATAAATATTGGGATTCTACAACGCATATAACTTAATGACTAAATCAGATAAAAACAACGTCAGAACATGGCCTTAATTTGTATTAGTCTGAGTTATTATATCACATCAAATTATGTTTATATATATATAATTTATGAATATGAGTAGTTTTCTATACTTCTGATATTTGGGAATTTCTAAATAATTTGTCTATTCTGTTGTGTTTTGCAATCTTAAAAAAATCAATCTGAATCTTCTGTATGGTAGTTACAAGTGAGGTTGTTGTGATTCGCGGTTTCCAATACTTAATACTGATAATTTCTGTGCACAACGAGCCTGGGTAGAAAGTTTCTTTTGACTAAACCGAATATATTGTATTTGCACTCATTTATGTACATATAATATATCCCTTGAGAAATCAAGCATATCAGTCACATATCTTATTCCCCGAAAATAAAAGCTCTTTCTAGCCCAGTCATATGCAGCTATCATTTAACGATATCTGATTAGTGCTCTGTATCAAAACACATGTGCAATGTTTCAACAACAAAAATGTTTTTAAGTTAAATTAATGAGTCTATCTAATTTAGACCACCATTGAGAACCTGGAAGCAGTGGCCAACCATCTCGTCCTAGTATGGGACTCCTCAGTAATGCGCATCCATGGTCTCAAATGCGGGAATCGAACCTGATTTGTATTGGTTATTATGCTTATTAGTATATCACAAATTTTGCAACTAAATGTTGTTTGCATGTTGTAAATCGACATGAATGAATATTTGAGAAAGGAGTTAAAATTCAATTGGTTTTTATTCACGTTTCATAATGATCACATACAATATGTATATTACGTTGAAAAAGTAAATTATTGTAATGATGTTACAGTTGATTTGTAAAGTACCATAATGAATGCCTACAAATCATTTTCTCTATTCATGTTATACTCACATGTGAAAATACTTCCGCAATGTGAAACTTGGAAAAATATATTGTTTTTTTAATAAGAATGTGAAGTTCATCGTAAATTCGGTTATCAAGAGCGTACATTCTTACATTTTGTCTATCAGTCAAGTCGAAAGTTTAAACATTGGAAACTGAGGTTTTCAGCTCACAGTTAGACTAAGAAAACTAAATGGTGCAACTAGTTTCATACTGGGACTAACTTACAATGCTAATTTGGCAAGATATATGGGAAAAGTCTTAGTGATCACTGAATACAGTGATTGATTGGTACATTTTTATATGGAATAGAATTTCCACCTTTTACGTAGGGCATTTCCTGAGATTATAACATGATATGTTATGACTCATATCAATAAGTTATTAATTTAAAAAAATCAATATACTGGTACCTCACCTTGGCTTGTTCAACACTAGCTTTCTTCCAACGATCAAACATTATATGTTAATATGTGAAGTGGTTGGGTGGTATATATAATATATATCTAACCATCTCAGTCGGTAACGACTGACTAAGCTCATTGTTTGATTTTCTACTTTCACCTCGTACCTTGGGTCCAACCTAAATATTGATTATTTATTGGTCCCAACCTACATCATCTATTATCAAACACTGCCAATCTGCGAGTATCCATCTCGTTCAGATTTCAATCTCTCTCTACCTACTTTGACTTGGCAACTAAGTAGTATCACTTATCTTCATACACTTAGAGTGTGATTTGAATCTAACTGAACAATTATTTGCACGACCAAGTGAGTTGATAATTAAAAATCCATTTCATGTTAAGCTCTACATTCAGTACAAGTTCTAGTATGTACACTTCCATCTCAATAAAATTATACTTGTACGGTTTCACTAATTTGTAATGTGAAATTAAAAAAATCTGTAAAATACATAACAACTAGTAAAAAGGTTCTTTTTTATGCGTATGGTGAATCATCATTGTTGTCAATGTTCAATAATATTGTAATATCCAGTATTTTCAGGCATTTTTCTGGTCATTTAATGATTGAGTGTTGCATATAAGAGTTTAATTTTCAATAGGTATCTCATTTCTATCAATATAAAGCTATCTACGTATAACTTTATTTAAAACACTGCATTGTAGCCCATCCTCATCCCAGTCTACCAGAGCTTTAGAAAAAAAATTGACAGTGGATATTATGCACTTACATACAGCACTCAGTCACTGAATAAACAATAATTTGCTTGAAAAATGCTTAGTATCACACACAAATTGAATATAAAACAAATGCGCTACAAATCCATGAACACACGAGTCTTATCCTTTTTCTTCAACTAGTTAATTATTTAAAAGTTGAACTATTGGAGATATTTCGTTACGTTATCATGTTTTAATAGAAAATATTCTCGTTTTCTGTGCATCAATTTTATTGTTGTCAGAAATACTATTACCAAGTATATATATATATATATATATATTATTGTGATTGTGAACCGATCAAAATTAGAAAACCATTGAAAACTTAAAAGCACTTAACAGTAGCTTTGTCTTAACACACCACAGATGCCTTGGAAATATTGCTGGCATCTGCTAGGATCACCGGGTAAGTAATAGTGAGGTTCGACGCAGGGTATTAGGGAATGATGGTAAATCAGTTGATGAGGTTGTGAATCTTCATCGACTGAGATGGTTGGGACACGTGTTACGTATGCCTGAACACCGATTACCACGACGCGCAATGCTGACTGGTGTTGGAGATGGTTGGAAGAAAGTTGTGGGCGGGCAAAACAAAATATGGCATAAGTCACTGAAGTCACTAACTTCTATACTGAGCCATGTTGGTAGATGCAGACTACTTGGTTGGGGTCCGCGTGACTATCGTAACCAATGTTTGGAGACTCTGGGTTGCATGGCTCAGAATCGATCACAATGGTGTCTTCCTTTAAATTAAGAGATTAAAATCTCTTCATATCTTTCTTCGTACTAAATCTTTCTTCCTGTACTATATCCTTATATGCAATCTTTCTTTTATATATCACCACCTCTGAATTAACTACTTTTATGAATCCGGTGTTCATCTTGTTGTGTTAATGAGGTATGGCAACTTGGACCGATGCATATATATGCCTGGTTCTACGTTGTAGCTGACTGACTGACTTGTCTTAATACAGGATTCTTTTGTTGTGTGCATCCACAATTTTGTCGTCGGGGGTCGAACCCAGGCCATTTGGTCTCGCACATAGGCGCTTAATCTTGAAACCCTTGAGCTAAGATCTAGTAGTATACAAGTCAAAAATACATGTATAACTTTTTCACATGTAGGATACGAAAGGAATATATTCTTAGAATAATATTTTGTTATGTTTGTTTAAAAAAAAACAACAGTATTATTCACAAAACATA